TGTTGAAATAAATCGTTTTTGCTACTAGACAGTCTCTTCCTTTTCTTTCTCTTACAGTAGCAAACCTAAGTGATAAAACGTGCCGTTCGGCGCATTAGCCAATCGTGTAATATATCATGAAGTGTCCTCCCCTTCTGTTTTTTTTTTAGCGGCGGGGAGGGGGGCGACTAAATTTTTTTTATAGCGACCATTTTACGATTGAAGGTCACCAAACGGCGAATTTTTGAAAAATTGAGCTTAGAGCGCTGAATCAGAATGTTTATTGGAAGAAGCGGCGCAATCGAACAGTACAGAGTACAGGAAAAGGGACTGACAAAATAGAAGGTGTAGCTGTGTGTGTGGTTCGAATTAAAGGCCAACGATTAAAAAAGAAAGCTAAGGAAAAGGCTTATGTAAGCTAATGCTACAACATGTAAATCAAGAATATTGATAAGAAACACGATCTTATAAATGAAACAAAACGACGACTCTCACTTGAAAAGAGCCCTCCAATGTATAAAATGTCCTTGCAGTATCATGGAAACAAATTGACATAAACTATTAAAGCTAACCGCTATCCTCGATTCTTTATCGTTACTTTAAATTGTCGTCAGATTTTCCTCTTAGAAGAAGGACGCCGGTAACCAAACAACGATTTGTCATGCAAAAACCGGTCATGATTAACCAGCGCATACACAAATACATATAACATATAAAAGCACTAAAGCTAGCGGAGTTGTTAAACCCGCCATATGGATTGTATGCATGCAAGAAACACACTAAAGGCTACAAAACTGCAGAACGTTCGTTAGGTTTGGAGCAAATTCATCTCGATATAATGCACGTCTACTGACGTCTGAGAATCGGTGAAGCAATCGATTGAAAATCATTCAAAATGTACATTATTGTGTGATTCTGCTCACCTCGTCGTACTCTGATGCAGTTTTTTCATAGCAATCCATTAATGCATCAAAAGTTTCATGATTGTTATACATGTGGCCATGACCCTCCATCTCCACGTTTGATGTTAAAACAAACGAAAGCGGAGTAGATTTTCCCGCGAATAAGAAAACAATGTTGGTGGAAGCAATGTTGGTGGACGTAAACAATATACATATCTCATTAGCTTCTTTTGTTCGTCCTCCAGCATTTGCTCCTTTCACCATTGTTCCCTTTTTCTCTAGAGATTGGTTGCAAACCCCCATAGTCAGAAATTAGAATAATTACGTCTCGTCTCGATTTTTAAAGGTCATGTTTCTTTCTCAGTTTCTTTCAAACAGATATAGAATTTCGGAATAAAATAAGATTAAAATGTGGAAAAGTAACCGCATCGGGCACCAAAGTGTGCTCTGGACTTTTTGAAGA